TTATACATTTAAGTACTGAGTAATATTAATAAACTACATGTACTTGAACTACATGTAACATGTGTAACAAGGACACCTTAAGATAAAGTGTTACCAGTTTTTGTGTTACATTGCATATGAACTAGAGTCCTATGAACAACAGCTGAGCATTGGAAACAGCTTGAAATATCATTTTCAGATTCACTCTGCTGGTGCACTGATTTCTAACACGGCGAATGGCTTCTGTTTCTTCCACAGACGTGTGTTTGCTGAGCTTGTGTAATTATCACAGTGGTACATTTAGGACAGTGAATGCCACTCACTTAACTGTAGGGGCCCCAAAGTTGCAAAAATACACAAAACTACATGCAGTTGCTTTAAATGAAGTAAAAAATAATATTTGGTGAAACCACCCTTTGCTTTAAACAGCTTTTTCCTAGGTACACGTGCACACAGTTTTAAGGCAGTTTGCAGCTAGGCCATTTTATAGGCTTCTTACCATCTGTTTTAGGACTCATTGAGCATATAAAAATGATATTGGATTATTACAAGATTTGCAGAAGGAATGTTTGGAAATGTAAAACTGATATTACCTACTGGTGCACTAATGAAAAAGACATAAATCACTTCTAAGAAGCATCTAATGTGCCTGAAAGCTTAGTGCATTTAGAGGATGTGCACAGAAACATGTTGCTCAGTCGAGGTTTCTATAGTATTTCTATAATAAATGCAGGAGATTTTATCAATAAGGCTGAAATACCGATACGAAGTATTACCTCGTGTCTTGACTTGCTGAACAGCGCATGTTTAATAGCAAGGTGAACAGGAATGTAACAAAGTCCAGCACTAAATCTATAGCTATAAAAAACTACACTGAATTTACCAACAGAGACAAAGTGCAGATTCCTTCTTTTCCCAAATAAAACAAAATAGTCTTCGTTTTAAAGTTGTTAGCTTGCGCAAAGGCTGTTAAAGAGAAGGAACCTTGGATAAAGTGTCAGACTTCTAGCAGACGAATGAATAAATCTAGGTTCGTCAGCACTTTACGAATGATTTAAGAGAGAGCACAAGAATCTGCGCTTTTAGGGATCCCGGGCTCCGAGTCATTGTCTGTCTCTGGGTCTCAGCGAGCATCTCCTCCGTGCCCTCGAGGGCGTCCTGAAGACAGTCCACCTGCAGACAGTCCTGATAGTTGGCTCTCAGCTCCATCTGCACAGAGGGAGAAAAACTGAGGTGCTGTTGCAAACAGCATAAAGAGAAGCACTGGCAGCAGATATGCTCATTTTGAAGAACAAACGTCTCAGGGTTTGTATGGAAGAGAGTCGGGATGTTTTAAAAGCTTACGGTAACGCTTTAGTTTAGGGACCGATTCTCACTAGTAACTAGTGGCTTATCAGCATGCATATTACTAGCATATTGTCTGTTTATGAGTACTTATAAAGCACATATTAATGCCTTATTCTGCATGATTATACTTTATATCCCT